ACTCCACTAATGCACCCTTTGTTCTGGACAACGATACCTAATCACATATCCCTTTTAAACAGTTCTCTCCCTCATCTGTTTCAATGCAGTATATGTTATTTATCCCATCTTTCTCAGTCTCACCCCAACCCCGATGTCAGTCCTGCCTGAATATCTTTTTTAGTGAAGTGTCTGTTCATATCCTGTGTCCATTTTGCAATTGGAATTGTCCATTTTTATTTTGTTGAGGTGCTGGAGTATTCTATAAATTCTAGATTTAATTACTTTATCAGATATGTCATTACCAAACTTTTTTCTCTGTCTGTGACTTTCCTTTTTACCCTGCTGGAGAAGTTTTTGAATGTGAATAGGGATTTTTAGAAGATCCCATTCATCTATTTTATTCTGTCCTGGTTGTAGGATTTTCAGAATGCTTGGGAGACTGTTAATGCTCTGAATTAGGGCTTCAAGAGTTCTTCCAAGTGCTTTTCTCTGATGTAGGTTATTTTCCTTGGTTTTACTCCTAGGTCCTTGACCCACTTTGAGTTGGTTTTTGTGTATGGTGTGAGGTGTGGGTGAGAATCACTAATCTTACTATACTTTTTCTTGGACCTCAGCTATTCAATCTGAGAAATGTTTACAAATTCTCACAATTTACTAGTTATTACTGCTAATATCACAATATGCATTAAACCAAGAGGGATTTAACTCACTCCTGGGGAAAAATATTCACTTTTCTAAGAATGTCTACAGTTGGTATCACAATTTTGAAAAATAAGCTTGGGCGTTATAATTAATTAAATTTCATAGTCCAAAATAATCCTTGTGCTGCCTTCCAACAGTCTTAAGGAGATTTTTTCAAAAGTTATTTGACTAGTTTAAATGAGTTTTATATTTTCAATCCTGTTTTAAAAAATATGTGGTTCTGTTTTTATACACATTTGGCGTATGCATGTTCTTGAAAAAAAAAGTGAGGTCCAGAAGTTGCTAGTTGACTAATGGATAAGGCTGAATAGCACTGGAACATTGTGTTAAGCTTGCCTTCTGTTAGCATTTTCTGACCTTGGCAACTTCTGTTTTTCCAAACTGAGGGTTTTGGTGTTTGGGTTGGGTTTTTTTATTACTTTTTTTTTTTTCTGTTAGAACCAGGCTATAAATGTGAAATATTGATGCTTACACCCTTTTGTATGTTTAAATTTTGCCATTTAGATAGTCATATACAATAAATGCATCACTAGAATTTTTATTATATGTCAAAATGATTTATTATTATTATTAATTTTAATGAAAATTTACAGAGACTTTGGACTTCCATTCATTCAGTGTTGCGTTTTTCTCCCTGCCCACACTTTCCCTCCCTAGTACATTCTTCTCTTTGAAAAATAGAATTCTTTCATTGTTTCACAATCCCTCCACCTTAGTATACTCCACTATGCAACCTTCATTCTGGACTCCTGTCATGACAATAATACCTACTCACATATCCCTTTTAAATAGTTTTCTCCCTCATCTGTTTCAATGCAGCATACATTATTTATGCCATCTTTCTCAGTCTTCCCCCAGCCCCAAGGTCAGTCCTGTTTTACAACAGTGACTGAGATATTTCACTTAGCATAATGTCTTCCAGGATCACCCATTTTGAATAATACTTCATAAATTCCTTGTTTTTCAATGCAGTGTATTATTTCATTGTGTGACTATACCACAGCTTCTCTATCCATTCTTCTGTTGATGGGCACTTAGGTTGTTTCCAATTCCTTGCTATTGTAAACAAGGCTGTGATAAACATGGGTGTGCATATATCTGCTTGGGTGCAGTTATGGTCTCTTTGGGGTATATTTTCACTAGTGAAATTGCTGGGTCAAATGATATCTCTATTTGCAAAATGATTTCTTAATAATATCTCATTAAGCCTTACTTCTACACAATGAACTCTGATGAAGTTCTTGATCACCGTTCTTGATCTCCTTACATTGGGTTGATCAAAGTTTCTAGTAATAAAGAAGTTTGTCCAAGTTTATGGGTCTAACAGCATTTGAACTGGACATGAAATTGAAAATTGCTGTCTCAAAGTGTTCACTGAAGTTCTTTGAAACCACATTATTTTAAAAACCTAAGTTTAACTCAGGGTATATTATTTTAGTTTAATTTGCAAAACTTGAACCTCTCTGACCATTGAAATCCACCTGTGACTCATGAAAAAGATGGACAATCTCCTGCCGTGTGATTTACAACTTTCAAAAACTCACTGGAAGGACAGCTATGAGTTGATACCATCTCAATGACAATGAATTTGGCCATTTTTTTGTTTGTTTGTTTTTGTTTTAAATACAGTTTCAAAGAAATTCTTTAGAATGTTGTACAATTCCATTACTTGAAGTGTCCAGCATGGGCAAATACATAGAGATTGGAAGTTGGTTAGTGGTTTCTAGAGACAAAGAAATCATCTATCCTTTTCCCACAGAGCAGCTGGTGGATTCAAACCATGTGCCTTTGTGTTTGGCAGCATGACTTCTTACCATTAAGCCACCAGAATTCTCTATTGGCATCAACACTAGAAAATAAAAAACCTTAAGTAAATATCCAATAATTTGTATAACTCATAGGGATTCGATGAACAAAAGATCTTAACCCTGTTCTACTCGGTGCCGTCTTCCCACTTCCTGACACACAAGAGTCCATTGTGGCAGCCATCGTGTCAATCCACCTGGTCAATGGCCT